CGTGTTATGGCATTATGCTGTATGAAATAGCTGTTAATACATAAAAGTAGTTCATTCCTATGCAAATTTGTACAGTTTCTTAACTCCTACACAAGCAAATTCAATACAATTGTACAACCTATGCAAATTCATTCAATTTTGTTGTTGATCTCAAGGCATAATAATTCATGTTATGCAAATACATACAGCTTCGTAGTTGATATACTTATGCATATAAAAGCAAAAATTTAACATAATTTATCAATTTATAGCTTAATTTCTAAGGTTAGACTTCCGGCTTTCGGCATCTTCAACGCGCGATTAGGGTATTAAAAATCTAAATCCTACCATTTCTTATGGATGGATGCAACATTTATCATCGTTTAGAGGTTACTAAATCCTCCATTTTTATGTAATAATACTCTTAATCCTCTAAAAAGGACGTTTCTTATATCGCCATTTTGATTTTAAGAATAGTTCCGTTGTAGGCTGTCTCTAAAGATTTATTGCTAACAATTTCCTTTATAAAATTTGAAATAAATCTGTTAAGGACTAGAAACAAATGATTAGAGATTTGTAATATTGTCAAATTGCTTTAAATTATACCTTTCTTTGATCCCGTAACATCTATAGTATAGCTTAGTTTGTTAAATGGGCATTGAACGTTGTAAAGAGGTTCGTGAGTTTGTTCTTGGTTTTTCATATTCATGCTTAATGATGATGAGGAGAATAGCAATGACTCAATTTTGGCTGTTCCTAAATTACCAAATTTAATTTCTTTTAGTGTAATTTCGTTGACACAATGTAATTCTTCGTCTTCATCGTGTAATTCTTCAAAAACAAATTAATTATTGTAGATAATTAGTTTTGAAAATGGATTAAAAAAATCAAAAAAACCCCCAGAAATAGTTACAACTTTTGGAAGTTTTCTTGAAGGAGAATCCCCTAAAATTTAGCTATTAGAGTGATAATTATTTGGGTCTTTTGAGGTCGGAATTGGTGATAATTTTTGGAGGAATTAACTGTCTTAAACTCAACTCTTAACACAAATCATTGTTATAACATTAATGTTAAGTAATTTTAAGGACTTTAACAGCGAAAAAAATCCTCCGAAAAGTGGTAAAAAGTAAAAGCCAAAAATCTCCTGTTGTTATTGTTCTTATAGTACTTAAATTTGGGGTTTTTTAGTAAAACGAAATTCCCCTAAAATCCATGAATGGTGATATTAATTTTTATGAAATTTTTGAGGATTTCATTAAAGTAAAACATCCAAAAATTCAATAGAAATTGTTCAGATGATTTCTTTTATCAACAAAATCCACTAAAAACTAGAGGAAGAGTTTCAAGAGGAATTCTAGTGGGGGGGAACCTCTAAAAATATCTATAGTATAATAATTTTTTTAGAGACTTTAAGAATAGTTTTTAGCGGAATTAATGAATTTTTGGAGGATTTTTTCCATAAATCTTCTGAAAAATATTTATTATAATGCATAAAATGATTAATTCGGATAATTTTATTGGAAAAAAACCTCCAGAAGCAGTCATTACAAGCAAAAAAAAAAAAGGGAATAAAAACATACTTAAACGTCGACCTTTACATTATGTAAATTGAGTTTATGACCCTCTTTACATTATCTAAGAAAATATTTTCATTATTTTAATTAATAACATTTACTTTATCTTATCAGGAGAAGAATTAAGTGGCTAAAATTTTCCTTTTTTTCTATGTTTTTGCCTCGTTTAAAAGCTTCATAATTTATTGGCTTGACCCCCTGTCAATGCAAAATAAATACGTCGATTTTAATTCCTCGTAGAATTATATATGAGGCATTAGATGCGTATTAATCTAACTTAATCTGAGGTATTATGAGGCATCTCGTATATATCTTAATGCCTCATCAATCATAGTTCTCAGTAACTATTTCTATTACTGTAGAAGCTATTGAGGCATTAAAATTAGTAATGTGAAATGTTTAGTAGTGCCTCGAATAAAGCATGCCTTTAATGCCTAAGATTATTAACAGGCTATTGCCTATTACGTTAATAAACATTCTATTCTATTCTAATGCCTAAGGTTAGAATCATTTACGTGCCAGATACCTCATAATGCCTCAATTGAAATAGTTTACGCATGATATGCCTCATACAGACTTATAATCATTGCTAATTGATTGCAATGCCTCAACTAAAGCAAAATATACACGTGATGCCTCATAATGCCTCAACAGATCTGCTTATAAATGAAGTCTGTAATGTCACAATAGAGCCAACCTCAATTGTTGCCTCAATAAAAGGGTTAAATAACTGGAAAACGTGAAATTCCCAACATTGCAAATAGATTTTTTTTTAATAATAAAAATATATACTGTATTTAATAATAAAATGGGTGTTAATGATCGATCGTGTTGCGTATCGCGTGACAAGAATAATTATTTGATCAGCTTTGTCGCATTACACAATACAAAATAAATATTAAAAATTACGTGAGAAATATTACACATTTCCTTTCACGATGTAAGTGGATTAATTATAAGTGGTACGAGAAATGGATTACTACCTTCGACAAAATCATGTGAAACTGCAGTTTGTCAGTCCGTTGTGTTGAAATCTCTTGGGATCGTAATGGATTAGCTAAGGTATTCGCATGGGTATCCAAATACAGTAGAACTGTAACATTAATCAAATAGAGTGCGACAACCTTTGCGTGTTACACACAAGCACGTGTCAATAAATTGCAAAAAAAAAAAAAAGAAAAAAATACCCGATATTCTATTGAAATATATTAATAAATAATTTCCATAGTTTTCATTTAAAATTATTAGAATTTAATGGATTCCATCTTGATTTTATTTATAGAACAATATGGCGTCGTAAGTTAAATTTTTCTGTTAAACACGGTTGTATTTTTAGATTTGTTTATTGATATTTATTTAGTTCGGACTCTTTTCTAGCAACCCGAAAAACTATTTTGTACGAATTTAATAGATTGTAAAAGAAAAACAAGAATTTAGTCGGCCATCTTGAATTTATTTATAGACCTGCTTGAAGTATTTAAGATGGCATTTTAAACATTTATATGTTTTAAACTATTTATATAATCGGGCATTCCGTTTTAGTAACTCAAAAGACGATTTTATGAGAATTTATAAACAGTTAGACACCATCTTGACTCTATGTATAGATTAAAATGACACTTTAATTGCTTTTACTAAATACTGTTATATTAATAACTTTGTTTTTAATAATATTTATGCGATTTAAGACCCGTTTTAAGAATCCTGAAAGACTATTTTATGATAATTTAAAAGATTATAATAGAAAATCATCACTTTGGACGCCATCTTGATTCTATTTGCATAGCCTACTTAAACGATATCTTTGCTTGCAGTAAATACATCTGTATTTACTACCGTGTTTTCTAATATTTATGTGTTTGGGAACTCCTTTTTAAATTCCTGAGAGACTATTTCGTGAAAATTTAAGAGAATTGTAACAGCAAGACAAGCATTTTTGGACACCATCTTGATTCCATTTATATACTTAAATGGCATCCTAAATGCTTTCATCAAATACTGCTACATTTTAAACACGTTTATTGATATTTATGTAATCGGGGACTCCCTATTAACGTCCCGAAAAGAATATTTTACGATGTTGTAACAGAAAAATTAACATTGCAGAAGCCATATTGGATTATGTTTGTAGCCCAATACGGTTATAAATATGCTCTCAGCAAGCACTGTTTTATTTATAAACGTGTTAAAGATATTTATATGATGCTTTCAGCAATACAAAATGAATGGCCCGGGTGATCGCGATATACTAATAGAGGAACTCGACTCTGTAGAAGTTTACGCCATTATTCCTCTTGAAATGCATTACAAATATTCCACCACAAACGCTAAAAACTGCTATTTAATCAACCGAAATTGTAAAATACGCATTTTATGTGGCTTATAAGTTATTTAAAAGCTTTTATTGACATTTAAATTTAATAGAAATTAAATTTAGTAACCACGTTGTAATTATCTTCCAGCTTTTGAAGCTTTTCTCTGAAAGCATATTGCACTTTACTGATCTGTATATAATAGGTTATTGATCACACCACGTCGCTTCTCTTAAACAGTATATAAATCTAGCTGTTTACTAACGTATTGTATTCAAACAAGCAGCTGAGTTAAATCGTGTTCGCTATTATATAAGTTTATATTCATTCGTGCAGAAACTAGACAGGAGTAATATATATATACAGTATATTGATTCGGTTTATTTAAATGTGTTAGAAAACAGTTTAATGGTTTCAAATTTATAAACTTTGTAAGCTTTAAGAGAGAGATACTAAATTGCAGATTTTCTTGGAAATTTAATGAGAAATAGGAACCGCATTTTTTGGAAAGTTTAATGAGGAATAGAAGATGGATTTTTAGAAATTTTAGAGAGGAATAAGAACTGCAATTTTGGAAATTTTAATAAAGAATATGGGGTGCATTTTTAGAAATTTTAACGAATAATAAAATGTGCATTGTTTGGAATAATCTTAAAAAATAAGGAATGAATATTTTTAAATTTTAAATAAATGCATGAATGGAGAAAATTTACATAAAGAGATAATCAATTTTTAAAAATTTACATAAAGAGTACGAGGAAAATTTTTGGAAATTTAAGTGAAATTACAAGTGAATTTTTTAGAAACTTTCTATGGTTAAATAGTCGAGGCAACTAAGAAATCGCTCTGGGAACCTGGATGTCATAAAACCCCAGAAATTTTTCAGGAAAGTCTGTCCCGGATATGTCGTCACACATCTTCCATTATGGACATAGCCAAACCTACGATGACAATGAAAAAAAGGCCCTCTCGGTACCTACTTAAGGGATATTAAAATAGGAAAAAACTTTCTATGATTTAGTTTCAAGAACGACAGTAAATAATCGATCGCTTTAAATATTAATGAGGCCATTTAGAAAAATAAATATTTTCGGAAAAAAAAAACACCAAAGGATCAATTCTGAGTAAATGTGAAAGTAACTGGCTCATTAATGAGATTAGAAATTAATCTTAGTAAAGTGATAGTTATAATCTTGTTATTAGCTTTTAACTTTAGCTTTCTGAAACCTTTCAACTTAGTTTTTTCTGGTACAAAATACTGACAATTTCTTAATATAATTTATTACCAAAGAGTAAAACCATTTAATTCTTTAACACACTTCGTAAATAAATCCACCCCTTTTGATTTTAAGTTTAAATTATAAATTATATAAATTTATGATTAAAACTCTACTTACTTTAATGAAAACATGTTAAAATTTTCTTAAAAGTTCATGTATTCATCTTGAAAATTGACGAATCACTGTATAAACTTCAAAATGTTCCATTAAGATCCTGCTACTCCACAATGAACGAGTACAGAATTGTGTTTACACAGTCGTGTCAGTTATGTCAATCAGTTCCTCCCAAGATGTTTGACGTAATTAAAACTGTATAAGACGTTTAAAATATAGAATTTATTGACATATTCTCGAACTTCATGTTTCTTCGTTATTAAGAAATGTCAAAGTTAAATTTTTAAATTTTTTTATTTTATTAAATTTTATAAAACTTACCGAAAATATTTAAATGTTACGCTTATCTTCCTGTAATTCTCTAATATTATACACCATTTTTATCATAATTAATTAATAATTCTTAAATGTTTTTCTTTATTCCAGATGCTAGTTCTTTTCGATAAGATTTCCATTACATTGAACATAGATTTTAATGATTTCAGATCATTTTTCTGTAGATTTTCTTCGATAAAAGGAAAGGAATTTATCTGAATTAATGCTATAATTATTGCTGTTGAGAGAGAAGTCATAACTTAAGACATCCGAAGGTCACTACTAAAGAGCGACACAATGAACAAATTGCATGCATTCTTGTGTGTCCGCTGCCATTTGCGCGCCTAGGAAACGCAATTTAGCTAGCAAAATGTCTCTTTTGATACAATAACGATCAGAAGAGAGTCAAGATTAATTATCTGTATGCATTATATACGTAACATATTTGTTTCTATCCAGTAAGTCGCATTAGTTCTAGACAATGCCGGTTGCGTATAAGGAATGAATTATTCATTCGGCAATGATTAAAGATTTGGTCGCATAAATTTAATAATTCTAGTTTTCGTGCGGAATACAAATTACAAAAATTCGATCCACTTTAGATCTTTATTCTCTTCGGTACTATTAAATCTTCTATATGACTCTTATATCACGCCCTTGCCATTCTAACATTGTTATCGTAGCGTTATAAATCACAAGGAAGATGTCTTGAAGTCCATTTTTGGCTAGATAAACCCTTTAAGTCAAGTTAATTCGTCTTTCTTGCCGCTATTTCGCTCATCGTTTAGCCTATGTAATGTTCCATATCCGATTTAAAAAAAATTACAATTGGCAACACTTAATCTAACTTTAATCGTTACGTAATAAAACGTCACAGTTGCTAAATATTAAAAAAAAAATAAAGTATTGGCAACACTTAAGCTGTAATATTTATGACGTCACGGGTATATTTATTTACGAATGTAAATCGCTTCAGATTTAAAATATTTTTATTATTACGAAACGTTTGATAAAATGTTTAAAAATCTGTGACATTTGTGATGTCATCATTTAAATGTGACGCTTGGAATGCCTTCCGTATGACGTAATCGTTTTCGATTTCTCTCCCGAAATTAAATAAACATTGAATTTAAATTAATACTTTTTACACTTTAACACCAGAAAATTAGCTTATAACACAATTATTTGATATCGAAAAGTGAATAAATATTCATCATTTTCAATTTAAAAAAAAAAAATTATTTAATTTAAAGGAATGAAAAGATAAATTAATTTTATGATCTTCCACGAGACGTCGCTTTTTAAAATTTATTTTTTTAGACGTCATAATTAAAAATTAATCACGATTGTATAAAAAATATTAATTAAATTGTACTAAATTAAAAATTTAATACTTTAAAACACTGCATTTAACTCGTTGTAAACTAAAAATATTAATATTAAAATTTCATAAAATTATACCGTATTAAATTATCATGTTATACATTAATAACAAATTTTAATAAATTTATACATTATTATTATTATTAAATGTAATTTTAGTAATATATTTAAAGGACATAAATGAAAATTTTAAAGATTTATAAGCGAGAAAAAAATCTGGCAATACTTTCAATTTTAAAAATTCCCGAGTGACGTCACTAGAATATTGGCAACCGTGTAATTTGCATGCATACGCTGCGACACGCAGTTCAAATTACGTTGACATTTTCAATTTTAATTGTATTTAAAATTTTGGCAATTCTGTTGACAGTACGGAATGTATTGAAGTCTAAACAGAAGAGAATTTCGTTATATTTTACTTAAAAAAAAAAAAAAATATATGTTTAACACGCGGTCCGGGTCATTATTTTTCATCAATATTCCCGGATTTTTGTGTATTTTTTCCAAAATTTCCGAGTTAGAATCGAACTTTAAAATATATAAATAAATTTAAGTTGCAATATTATATTTTTAACAAAATTTCAAGCTTGTACATCTGATATTTTTAGAGAATTCGGGGATGCAACACCCGAACTTCGAGTCGCCGCTACACTCGATACACTTACGGTTTTTGCAGAATTCGATCTGCAGCATTAATTTTACCAAAATTTCGAATTAGAATATTTGATATTTTGACGATTTTTTGCTCGAATTTCGAACTGTTGCAAGTAATATTTTTGAATTTTGTAGAATATTGGAGATTTAACGCCAAATTTCAACTAGTCCAAAAAGAATTTCGAGATGCAACACCCGATATCTTCATAAAGAAAAGAATTCGGGCTTCAGTGTTTATTTTTCTTTTGCCAATTTCGGATGATAGTAATATTTTATGGCGATTTTAACTGAATTTCGAGCTGAAAAAATTGATGTTATATTCATTTTTTTACAACAAATTTAAGCTTAAAATCCGTATAAATTTTTACCGTAGCAAAGTAGAAATTGTCCTCCACGCGATACGAATTTTAGTTGACCTCTCGTACAAGAAGCAAGCAAAATCGATTCGTTTTCTAGACTTGTTGATCAATACTTTTCGACATAACTTCCCTCTCTCTCTCTCTTTTCTCTTCTCCTCCGACCTCTACAACTCGTAATTTTTTTTTATTATTTAATATATAAACAAACCATCATTTTGACGTTAAAAAATAAGCAAATTTATACACGACACAATTTTTAAATATAGAAAAGAAAACAAACCAATAAATTTCTCCTGAGATCTCTCGTTGCAGATGATTATCTTTCGCTTGATTGATCGTTTTAATGGTTTTAAAGTTAAGAGCTTTTTTCTTTTTACTTTTAAAGTAGATTTTTTTTCTTTTTGATCTTAAGAGATCGAAAAGGCAGTCGAGCGTATCATTTTCTCGAATACTCTCATCCACTTTTGCTGTCACTATTTTTAGATATGTACCTGATGCGTATGACNTGAAAATTTTAAAGATTTATAAGCGAGAAAAAAATCTGGCAATACTTTCAATTTTAAAAATTCCCGAGTGACGTCACTAGAATATTGGCAACCGTGTAATTTGCATGCATACGCTGCGACACGCAGTTCAAATTACGTTGACATTTTCAATTTTAATTGTATTTAAAATTTTGGCAATTCTGTTGACAGTACGGAATGTATTGAAGTCTAAACAGAAGAGAATTTCGTTATATTTTACTTAAAAAAAAAAAAAAAATATATGTTTAACACGCGGTCCGGGTCATTATTTTTCATCAATATTCCCGGATTTTTGTGTATTTTTTCCAAAATTTCCGAGTTAGAATCGAACTTTAAAATATATAAATAAATTTAAGTTGCAATATTATATTTTTAACAAAATTTCAAGCTTGTACATCTGATATTTTTAGAGAATTCGGGGATGCAACACCCGAACTTCGAGTCGCCGCTACACTCGATACACTTACGGTTTTTGCAGAATTCGATCTGCAGCATTAATTTTACCAAAATTTCGAATTAGAATATTTGATATTTTGACGATTTTTTGCTCGAATTTCGAACTGTTGCAAGTAATATTTTTGAATTTTGTAGAATATTGGAGATTTAACGCCAAATTTCAACTAGTCCAAAAAGAATTTCGAGATGCAACACCCGATATCTTCATAAAGAAAAGAATTCGGGCTTCAGTGTTTATTTTTCTTTTGCCAATTTCGGATGATAGTAATATTTTATGGCGATTTTAACTGAATTTCGAGCTGAAAAAATTGATGTTATATTCATTTTTTTACAACAAATTTAAGCTTAAAATCCGTATAAATTTTTACCGTAGCAAAGTAGAAATTGTCCTCCACGCGATACGAATTTTAGTTGACCTCTCGTACAAGAAGCAAGCAAAATCGATTCGTTTTCTAGACTTGTTGATCAATACTTTTCGACATAACTTCCCTCTCTCTCTCTCTTTTCTCTTCTCCTCCGACCTCTACAACTCGTAATTTTTTTTTATTATTTAATATATAAACAAACCATCATTTTGACGTTAAAAAATAAGCAAATTTATACACGACACAATTTTTAAATATAGAAAAGAAAACAAACCAATAAATTTCTCCTGAGATCTCTCGTTGCAGATGATTATCTTTCGCTTGATTGATCGTTTTAATGGTTTTAAAGTTAAGAGCTTTTTTCTTTTTACTTTTAAAGTAGATTTTTTTTCTTTTTGATCTTAAGAGATCGAAAAGGCAGTCGAGCGTATCATTTTCTCGAATACTCTCATCCACTTTTGCTGTCACTATTTTTAGATATGTACCTGATGCGTATGACAACCGCAAGATGAGGAGGAAAGAGGTGTTTGAAGAATATTATGATGCTAATTTTCTCAATTTACATCTCGTTCCTGAAAAATTATAAAATTATGGTCAGTTGGCATGTCTAACAAGCATTATAAAACTTCGTATTATCATGCGTAATGCATAACTTTGATTATCTTAAATGGTAGAATTATTTTCTAATTAAGTTGGCGCGGGGATTCGGATCTAGCGGGCGCATTAATTTAAATATATAATCAAAACATACAAAATTTCCTAACTTTTTAGAATTATTGCTAATTAAAATAAACTGGCATGATATTTTTAATTGAATTAAAAAGAAATTTATGAACTATACAAGTCGACCCCCCTATGCTACTCCACAATGAAC